AATCTTGATGCCCGGACCAAATACATCAGAACCTCCAGGGGGTGGCACCCAGGTTCTGTGGTCTGAAAGTTTGTGTCTTCTCAAAATTCCTATGTTGAAATCCTAATGCCTGGTGTGATGGGATTAGACGGTGGGACCTTTGGAGTTTCTTGGGTCATGAGGGTGGATCCCTCATTAATGGGATTAAACCTCTTATAAGAGAGACCCCACAGAGCTCCCAAGCCCCCTCTAGCCTGTGAGTACCAAAGGTCAGCAGTCTGCAACCCAGAAGAGGGCACTCCCCTGACCATACCGGCACCCTGATCTGCTACTTCCAGCCTCCAGAACTATGGCAAATAATTTCGGGGGGGGGTGCCTGGCCGTTTCAGTCAGTGCAGCATGGAGACTCTTGATCTTGGGGTTATGAGTCTGAGCCCCACATTAGGCATCGAGATTATTTAAAATAAAATCTTTTTTAAAAAAGAAAGAAATTTCTGTTGTTTATAACCCACCCAGGCTGTAATATTTTGTTATAGCAGCCCAAATGGACTAAGACAGCAGGTCTCAGAAGTTTTTAATTTTTTTTAATGCTTATTTATTTTTGAGAGAGAGCGCGCATGTGCGCACAAGCGCCAGCGAGCAAGCGGGGGAGGGGCAGAGAGAGAGGGAGACACAGAATCCGAAGCAGGCTCCAGGCTCTGAGCTGTCAGCACAGAGCGTGACGCAGGGCTCGAACTCACGAACTGAGATCATGACCTGAACCAAAGTGGGAGGCTTAACTGACTGATACCCAGGCGCCCCCTCAGGTGTTAGAAGTTTTTACAGCTCTGCAGATGAATCCATTGTTTACAAGAATCGGAACCACTGGTCTAGACTGTGAGTAACTGACCCGGCACCAGCGGTTTCAGAAGCGGCTGCTTAGCACTTGTCAGCCAGCAGTCCTCGTTGGCAAAGCGATGGGTTGGCTGTACGCACCTGGCCATGGAATTGCGAGAAGCTTTGGCTGATAGTGAGCCTGCGTCCTCCCTTTCCAGGGCTGAGCGCTGTGCGCCACGGAGCCCCGCTCAAGCTCTGCATCTTTCACCCTCTGGCCACAGCCAGCTCCGAGGATGAAACGTCTTGGTGAGCGGCTTCTGTCTGTGCTGGGTCTGATGCCTACTCTCTAAGTCCTCTGCCCAGGGACCTTGTTGAACAAAACCGTTGTAAGGACAGAAAGCACGGCACTTTCTGAAATAGCTTCAGTCCCACAAGCTGCCTGCTTGCTTCCCAGGGGAAGCTCTACGCTGTTGGAGCTGCCTGATGGAACTTCAGAGGGAACTTGCAGACCCTGAGTTTCGAGGAGGAGACAGAGGGGAGCCTTTGAGAAGTACAAGTCTCATGTGAATGGCTCGTCTGTCTGCCAGCAGGGTCTCGAGGAAAAAAAATACAAAGGCCTGAGGGGTACTCCCAGCATCGCAGAGCAGGCGGGGTGGACAGGAAGCCGTGCCAGGGCCAGGACCCCGGGTCCCCACCTCTCGTGTTCCCTGCCGCCCTCCCCGCAGCAGAACCTACAGCTTTCTTTCTTCCCTTTGTTGTTGGAAGAGACTTCTTCTTGTGGCTGGAGCACACACCCTGCTTCAAACCAACAGCCAGATTGGCTGGAATAACCTTGGGAGATAGATAGATTTTTAATAACACAGAACATAAATACCGATGTCACCATCCCCCATAATTAACAAACGTGATGTCTGCTTGCTTGATTTTGTTATTTCTATTTTGTGAGAAGGCACCTCCGGACTGTTCTCGTGTTGAGAGCCTACATGTGGTGCCCTGAGGCAGCCAGACTACTTCCGTGGGCTTCTCGAGCTCATTCCTCTAGTCAACCAGGTTGGCTGGGGGCCCTCTAGCATTTGGACAACCCTGAGAGAAACCTTGAAGAGGAGGACTCCATCCTGCCCAGGGGGAACTATATTGTCCCAGGAGACAAGGCAGTGGAAGCGTGCCCCATCCCCGAGCACACGGCGAGGGGCCACTGGTTCCTTCCTGCTGGCCTCCGCTCTCCCTGCCCCCCAGGAAAGGGCCCCCATTTGGGAGAGATGAAAAGAGTTTGTACAGAATGCAAAGTAGGCATGGACAGGCCTCTCGGGGGCCATTTGGTAAGGTCTCACCTTCATGAAAGGTCTCACCTTTTTAAGTTCTTTCCACCAAAACACCTAGTTGTGTGCTTGTGTTGGCTGTTAAAGATGCTAGATGCAAGCACGTAAACTATACCACACTTTTTATAATATTTAATTTTCTAGGAGCCTTAAAAAATGCGGGGGGATAGGCTTTGCTAGACCTCTAAGAAGTCCTGTCTGACCAACTGGAAAAGACAGGTTGGACCTGTCTCATTCTGGGGATAGAAAAATCCCCCATCTGAGTTGTTCAAACACCCAGACTTGGGGGCTGACGGAACTGATCCTAAGTGCTGAGGAGAGGCCAAGAGCTGAGCTCCCCTTTCCACATTGTTCTCCATCCTCACCGGGCACTTGGGGAGAGGAAACATGGAGCTGGGCCTGGAAGCTTAAGTCTGAGCTGTGGGTGTTTCTGAGATTATTCTGCCCAGATCACTAGGCTAGGAGAGAGAGAGGATTTCAGGACAAGTACTCATTTCAGAATTAAAGACCACAGAGTTTCCAGGAGGGTCCTTTGGACCTTTCTTGAGGAATGTGAAGGTGTCTGCAGGTGCAGGAGGGCCAGGTGTACTGTCTCTTGCCACTCCCCTCCCATGTTGTGAGCCCCTTGGCCTAGTCACCAGTCTCTTCCCCGATTTCCTTGATTTTAGCCTAGACCACACACTGTGAAAGAATCCCTGCAGATTCTGGAAGGTCACAATCGAAAAAATCTTAATGTGGTCCCTGCAGGTTTTTTTCTGCTTTCTAGAAGATAAACAGCTATGGCCTCTTTGGGAAGACAACTCTGGAGTAAGGGATGAGGCCTCTCCAAGGCCCTTTGGCCTCCTGTTCTCACTGCTACCTTTAATACCTAGGGAGCTGTTGACAGTTGCTATATAAAGTCCCTAGAATGTTTTTGTTTGCTTGCTTTTACAACCTTTTAACAAGGGAAGAAGAAGTAAAAAAAAAAAAAAACCCATAGGGAGGCAGAATGGGAAGCCACTCAAACTCCTCTATCTCACTTCCCCTTCACATAAGCACAAGGGTGCCTCCAAAGATCCAAAAATACTTGAGAGGTCCAAGAGTACATTTGTGTCCTACAAATAGAACCCTTCTTGTCTAGGGCTTTGGGGACACTTAACAAGCCTTTTCTATAGGAAAACCTATATGAACTTTTCAAAGCAGAGTAGAATGAACCTCATGTTCTAATCAATGCAGAAAAAAATCTGGGGGGGGCGGGTTGCTGAGAGAGAGAGTGCACACACGAGCAGGGGCAGGGCAGAGAGAGAGAGAAGGAGAGAGAGAGAATCCCAGGCAGGCTCCACACTGACAGTGCAGACCCTGACATGGGGCTAGATCTCACAAACCTTGAGATCATGACCTGAGCCAAAATCAAGACTCAGATGCTTCCCCAATTGAGCCACCCAGGCGCCCCCTGAAATTTGTTTTAAAAGGAAAATTTTCTTGACCAGTTGACCAACTCTTGGCTTAAAGGGGAAGTAAAATAAAAACTGCAGTGACAAGCTATTTTGAAATGATCAACAGAGAATGTTGTATATAAAAATTATGGGAAATAAAGCTGTACTTTGAGGAAAACTCATAGCCTTAAGTGCTTTTATCATTAAACAGAGATTAGAAATAAAATGCACTGATATTTATTGTTCTCTACCCTGTAAGACCCAGTCATGTGTGTGATGTTGATGTAGGTATATCAGGAGAGCAGAAGAGGACACAGGTCAGAGCAGGATTATATAACTAAGCCTCCCAGCTAAGGTCAACTGTGTTTGGTGCTAAATATAAGTTCTAAACAAAGTACCCTGGGAGCCCAGAAGAAAGTTATTCTCCCTTGCGGTGAGAGCCAGAGTCAGCTGTTCAGGGCCTGTGTCACAAAGGTCTTTAAAGCTTTGTTGAGGAGTCTGTGCTTTATTACCAGGACAATGTGTGTGTATGTGTGTGTAAAGACTTTTATTTTTGTTGCTGCTCTTTTGTTTTGTTTTTCTCTTTCATAATAGTTTCCCAGATGTGGAACTGCTTGATTAAAGAAAAACAGGGGCACCTGGGGTGCTCAGTTGGTTAGGCATCCGATTCTTGATTTTGGCTCAGGTCATGATCCAACAGTGTGGGAGTTTGAGACCTGCATCTGGCTCTGTGCTGACGTAGCCAAGCCTGTGTGGGATTCTTTCTCTCTCCCTCCCTCTCTGCCTTTCCCCCACTCACAAGCTCTTGCTGTCTCTCTCAAAATAAATAAATAATAAATAAAGAGAAAAAACAGGGCGCCTGGGTGACTCAGTCAGTTAAGTATCTGACTTTGGCTCAGGTCATGATCTTGAAGTTCATGGGTTCAAGCCCTGCATCAGGCTCCACCCTGGCAGTGTGGAGCCTGCTTGGGACTCTCTCTCCCTCCCTCTCTCTGCCCCTCTCCACTCGCTCAGTCTCTCAAAAATAAATAAACTTTATTTTTTTTTTTAATTTTTTTTTCAACGTTTATTTATTTTTGGGACAGAGAGAGACAGAGCACGAACGGGGGAGGGGCAGAGAGAGAGGGAGACACAGAATCGGAAACAGGCTCCAGGCTCTGAGCCATCAGCCCAGAGCCCGACGCGGGGCTCGAACTCACGGACCGCGAGATCGTGACCTGGCTGAAGTCGGACGCTTAACCGACTGCGCCACCCAGGCGCCCCAGAAAATAAATAAACTTTAAAAAAAAATGAAGAGAAATATTTTAAGCTTCTTTAAGTTTATTTATTTATTTTGAGAGAGAAAGAGAGCATGAGTGGGGGAGAGGCAGAGAGAGAGGGAGTGGGAGAATCCCACGCATGCTCCACGCTTAGCATGGAGCCTGACTCAGGGCTCCATATCACGACCGCAAGACCATGACCTGAGCTGATATCAGACACTTAACCGATGGAGCCACCCAGGCACCCCCACATTTTAATATTCTTAAAACACAGTCACACTGCTTTCCATAAGATGTAGCGCATTCACGGGATCTCTCCTCTGATGGGAGATGTTAGCGTTTACAAAAGTCTGAACGAAGGGAGCTTTGCCCACAACCAAGGCACCGGTGAGGTTCTTTTCCTGAATGAGTCCCCTGGTGCTCAGAGAATCTAATGTTGAGAGGTTCTTCCTGGTTGGAGTTCTCAGGGCTTTCTTCCTACAGAGTGGTTGGATGCTCTATAAGTTCTGCTAAGTCTTAGGATTTCCACATCGGTTTTCTAAAGGTTTTTAGTCTTTTTTGTAAAGTAGACCCTTGGAGAGCATTCCCCCCTAAAGTTACAGTGAGTGGATGCAGAGTTTCCAGGTTTTTTCTGCTTTGAAGAAGCTTCTTTATCTTCTCTCCTGATCTTAAAACCTGAGAGAAGAAATGAAAGTTGAAAATGTCACCCTGTCCCCAGGGGGAAAGAAAGTGAGGGCGAGAAAAGGGGTTTATTAAACCAGTAATGGGATGACAGAAAGTCCCAAGTACATCTCAAAGCTTTTTATATCAATTGAGTCCGAAGTTTTCTTTTCTTTCTCCCCTTGTATGCAGTGAACACTCACCTCATCTTGAAGCCAAATCCTTGTCTCATTTCTTTGAAATTCTGCAGTCCCTTCACCCGTGGCTCTTCTCTGTGCTCCATGGGAAGCCCAGGCCAGGCTTTGGTACTGGATATCCTGACTACAAAAAAGACAGGAAACATGAGAGTTTGGCTCACGACTGATTGGGAGGGTGATTTCAGGACGATCTCTAGGGCAGATGGCCTCTCTGTATCCATTTCCTCTTAGGATCATTTCACCTGAAGCCTCTGTCAGCAGTATTTCAATATTAAAACAAAACCAAAACGAGGGAAACTCCTTTTGTGTTCAAGGCTGTTGTCCTCCAATCTGTGAACAAGGAGTGAATTAGTTCTGTGTTAAAATCGATGCACTAGGGTGCCTGGGTGGCTCGGTTGGTTAAGTGGCAGACTATTGATTTTGGCTCGGGATGTTATCTCATGATACGTGGGATCGAGCCCTGTGTCTGGCTCTGTGCTGACAGCGCAGGGCCTGCTCGGGATTCTCTCCCTCTGCCCCTCTCCTACTCTCTCTCTCTCTCTCTCTCTCTCTCTCAAAATAAATAAATTTTAAAAATTCAGTGTACTAAATTTTTAGTTTTACGTTATCTTTTGAATATTTTGATAAGAGAATTATTGAAGTTAGGACTGAAGTGTGACGTCAGTCTTCCTAAAATTCTGACTGTGTCAAACCTGAGAAACATTTTCTTACTGAGTTCAGGAGAAGAGAGAAAAAGCGGTAAAAGCAGGAATTTGGGAACTGAGTCCTGGATTCATTTCAGTTCAGAGATTTTCAAATAAAAATCGATATGTGAGCTGGGTTGGCTGGTGACTGGCAAATGCCGTCTTTACACGTTTCTTTTGGCTGAAGCCCAGAAGTGGGTTATCTTGAAGTTCACTAAAACAACTCTCTAGGGGCGCCTGGGTGGCGCAGTCGGTTAAGCGTCCGACTTCAGCCAGGTCACGATCTCGCGGTCCGTGAGTTGGAGCCCCGCGTCGGGCTCTGGGCTGATGGCTCAGAGCCTGGAGCCTGTTTCCGATTCTGTGTCTCCCTCTCTCTCTGCCCCTCCCCCGTTCGTGCTCTGTCTCTCTCTGTCCCAAAAATAAATAAATGTTGTAAAACAACTCTCTAACCGTGTTTCTGGCAGTCCAGAGACAGCTGGTGAAATCGTGCCCAGCTCAGTTCCTTGCTCTATCCTAGCACTCTTTCCCTCGCTGAGAGCCGCCTCTTCTGTGCCCCCTCCTCCCCCCCCCCCCCCCCCCCCCCCCACAAAGTTTATTGCTCTGCAATAAAATGTGGGCTGGTAAGTAGTCATTTATGATCCACATGGAGGAGAATGTTTAAATATTAACGTTCCCAAACAATATTAGCAAGTTAATGTTAATCTGAGGAAAAATGTAAATTCTAGAACACTTTACCAAAATATAGGAAGTGGAGCAAAATGCCTTATTTTATACTTCCATGAAGAGAAGCAACACATTTCAGATTAACAAAAAAAGAAAATGCTTTTCAAATGAAATGCCGTTTAAAGTCACCGTTTTGTTTATGATTGGACTGCAAAGCTACGACTAAGATCAAAGAGTGATTTGGTATACGTAAAAGTGCACCTGATCCATCGATCACAGAAAGCTGTGGTCTAGTCAAGTGGGACGAAACCAAAGCCAGGATGAGTGGCAGACGGCAAGCAAAGGCTTAGGGTGGCAGAGGCCTGGAGGCCAGGGCACCCTCGGGCCAGAGGCAGGGCAAGAAGCAGTTCAGACTGCTAAGAGCTGCTTGTCTGTCGGCTCCCTCACCAACAAGCACAGACCGGAAAGTCTTAACACTGTGTGTTTCATCGTTTACCGGTTTGCAGACCACACACACAGACAGCTGCCCCACTTGAGTGCAAGGGAATCTAGAAGGCCTAGGGAAGGTCTGAAAGCAGCTCCAGAGACAGAATCTAGTGCCCATGAGAGCTAAGGCCAGGATTAGTAGGGGCTCTTTATCTGAGATTCAAATGTGTTTTCTCTGTAATAGTCAGGGAGCCCCCTATCACTGAGGACAAGAAAACAGAAGCAAGTAAAATGGTTACTGGAGGGCATACTTACTTCCCTTAACTTACTTTTCACCGAAGACCTAAACTAGTGGTTCTTAATCTTTTTGGTGGTTTTGAGAACTTGATGGAAGCCATGGATTTGCTTCCTAGAACATACACATATACATGCAGTATTGTATAAAGTAACAGAAACTTCAGAAGATCTCCAAATCCATCAGTGGGACCCTCTAGAACTGTGATGGCCAAAACAGTAGCCACTAGGTGGCACTGAGCAACCCGAGCTGCGTTTCAGCATCCCCGCAAGTTATACTGGACAGTGCTGCTCTATAATTCCATGGGCTCTAGGTTAAGAACTCCTGCCCCAAATGACCCCCCGTAGATCTACTGGCCTGTAACCCCACTCCTAGTAACACACCAGCTATTTTCTATGTTTGAATATAGATAGGCCTCAAAAAAACGGAGGAAGAATACTAACAGTAATTTTGAATAACAGTCCATCTTGCTTCAAGTCCCCATTAATAACCTAAACCTAGCAGATGATTCATTCTTCCCATCTCCAGGTATGTGTAGTTTCGCAAACATTCTCATGCCCCCACATCCTGCAATAAAAATCCAAGTGGCTTTTCTGTGACATAGGGTGAGACTTCGGGAGTTTACTGTGCATTACTAACATTCACTGAGTTCGTACTAATTGCCAGGTACCGTTCTAAGCATCCTACACGTTAGCTCATTTAATCCTCACCAAATATAAAGTGAAGATAGTCTTATCCCCTCAAAACAGATGAGGGAACTGAAGTTTGGGGGTCAGATTGAGTAACCTTGTCTGAGATGACGTAGTAAATGCCAGCGAAGTGACTTTTAGGTTACAATCTGTAGTCTCCTGAAATATGTCGAAAACAGGAGAATGGCCTTAGAGGACTCTGAGGTCACGTGTCTCAGCAAGGGTTTCTGAGATGGACCTATACCGGCCTGTGTGCTGAGGCTGCTGAGGTCACATTTGCCACAAAGCGGTGGAGCCCTTTCCCTCTAGTGGAACAAGAAAAAACCGAAATACTCAGGACTCTCTCCAACCAGTCGTCCAAAGCCGGCCTCTCTGTCCCCACTTCACCCTTTTTACTATTATGGCAGCCTGAACTTTAGCGACAGACTAGCTGCGTGACCCTGGACAAGGGTGTTCGCTGACACGCGGTGCCGTTGTTACAGGGGGATGTAACAGCATCTACGTCCTACAGTTTTGAGTGCTGTTAGGGTCCAGCTCTATTAGGCAAGCGCTCGATAAAAGGTTACTGGTTGTCACGATTCACTCCTGCGACACTCTCCGGAGCCCACGGGCCCGAATGTCGCTAGAGGGAAGGGAGGAGCTGAGCCCACTCTCCGGGTTTCCTTCCGTTCCCCGCTCGGAGTGAAGTTCACAACTTTCATCACAAGATCTAGGAGGGAGCTGAATAACGATCCCGCCCTCGAAGGGATGGACAATAAGCAGCACGTCCCGGGTCCCCAGGAGCGCTCGTGGACGCCCAGCCTCCAGGACCCTGACCGAGCAAGGGACGGCCAAAAGCGCCCAGCCGCAGGGCCCCAGCAGCGCGCCGGAAGCACTGCCGCGGCGCTCCGCTCTCCGCCCCTGCTCCCGGCACCTGCCTCGGGCGCAGGCGCGGGCCGTGCAAGGGACTACATCTCCCGGCAAGCCCCGCAGCGACGCTGACCCGGGCCGGTCTACACGCTTCCCGACCACCCGGCGCCGAGAGGCGGCGGAGAGAGCCCTGGCTTGCGTGCTTCTGAGGCCGCCGGGCCAGAGGGGCTCTCTCGTGCAGCCCGAGTAACCAGAGCGGGTGGGAACTGCCTTTACATCCGTTATGACCGGGCAGTGATTCTCAAGCTTGTCCGTGGGGGAAGAGCTTGTTAACAATTCGGGTCGTTTGGCCCCACCCGACACTGACGCGCTGGATTTCGCGTGGCTCGGGTTTTCACTTTAGTAAGCTTTCTGGGAATTCTGATCCGGTAGTCAGCCGGTCACGCCTGCCTCGGGCATGTTTTCCTCTAAACTTAGCTGCCCTGCCTCTCGTGTCCAATTGGCCGTCGCTCGCCCCGTCTCCGCAGACAGCTCTTCCCCTCTGGTTGGTCGGCGGTGAAGTCTGTGGCGAGACCTGACCCAATGGGCGCTAGAGTTCGTAGATCGTGGCCCGGAAGTTGATCCTGAGCCTGCGCCGTTGGCTGTGGACGCCTAAGCGCGCTGGGACTTCCGGCGTGAAGCCGAGCGCCTAGGCTTGCGTGAGTCGGAGACGAGAGTCAAAGCGCGGTGTTCAGCTCCTGCTCTGAGGTGGTCTTGCCGGTTCCTGGACAGGGGGCCGGCGCGACGGCGCCCGTGATCGGCTGAGGCCAAGGCACCGGAGCCGGCTGCGCCCGGGCTGAGGCTGGGCTCCGCGGGGCCCGGGAAGCCTTCTCGGGCGGGTGCAGCTGGTTTCGGGGCCAAGGTGCTCCGGAGGGGCCTGAGGATGGCGTCGGGCCCGGGCTTCCAAGACCGGGAAGGGCTCCTGATAGTGAAACTGGAGGAGGACTGCGCCTGGAGCCAGGAGCTGCCGCCGCCAGATCCGGGGCCGAGTCCTGAGGCCTCCCACTTACGCTTCAGAAGGTTCCGCTTCCAAGAGGCCGCCGGGCCCCGGGAAGCCCTCAGCCGGCTCCAGGAGCTTTGCCATGAGTGGCTCCGGCCGGAGCTGCGCACTAAGGAGCAAATCCTGGAGCTGCTGGTCCTGGAGCAGTTCCTGACCATCCTGCCCCAGGAGATCCAGAGCAGGGTGCAGGAGCTGCATCCGGAGAGCGGCGAGGAAGCGGTCACCCTTGTGGAGGGCATGCAGAGAGAGCTTGGGAGACTGAGACTTCAGGTGAGAGAGAGAGCTGTCTTCGGTTCGTTTGGCCCCGAGGACTAGGACATCGCGGCCGCCCTGTTCTCCATACCTATGGACTTGGTGCCCTGAGTAGACTTTACACGGGCAAGAGGTCTTTTTATAGTTTAGTTAGGAAGATTCATTCTCCAGGTTTTCCCCGGCAGGACAGAACCAGCAGTGAAGAATGCCCTCTTTCCCCATGGAGGCAGGGCGTGTGCATTCGTGTGACCCCCCCGGAGTTAATTCGCAGGGTTCAAATCCTCACTCTGGTCTGTAGCAGTTTTGCGACTTTGGGCAAATTACTTAATTTCTTTAGGCTTCGGATTTGCCACGTAGTAAAGTGAGAATGACAAAACATCTTCCTAGGGTTGTTTTGAGGGTTCCGGGGAGAGGATCATGTAGTTTTGACCCCACTGCTGGCTAATAGTGCTTCATGGCTGTTAGCTGTTGTCAGGCTAGGTTCAGTAGCCCGGTCCCCTCTGCGGAGCTCGGTCGGGTTAACGGTAGATGGAGAAACACGGGTTGGCAC